CGAGGTCCCTTCCAGCCCTAATGTCTATGAAATCTATACAAATAAATGATTAGTGGGGGACATCTAACTTCTGAGAGAAAGATTTATAAATACGTGCAGCATAATGCACATACTATATTAAGGGGTCGCTGGCACCTTGCCACTTAGTGCAAGACACTGGCAAAGTCATTACAGGCATTGTAATCTGGCCTCTGACACTAGGAGACACCTATGCATATCTTATCAAGATCAGCTACTGAGCTCATTTGGGTAGTCTCATACTCCTTACTTATGATAAAATTCATGAGCAAAAACATAATTACTGCATTTACCCAAATCCAAGACTCTGAATTTAAGACGACCCCCCAGTAATTAGATTCTATATTTGGAAATGTTATAAATTTGTTATAATTTTCCATGTATACATCTAATTATTGGTGGGTTATCTTAAATTCAGCCCCTTCACCAATGTAGGGGGGCAAGGAGCAAGAGATTCAAGAGGCCTGACCCCTGCCACTTGTCCCCACCACTGCTACCACCTGTCTCCCTGCTGCCTGCATGTCCTAGAACTTGTCCCCCTAAAGTGCCTGTACTCCCTGGCACCTACCCCCCTCAACCATTTTCCTCCCTGTAGTGCTGCCCTCCAGACACCCATTCCCCTGGTACCCACCCACCCCCTGAAGCTTGCCGCCTACTACATGCACCCCCCCATGCCTGTGCCCCCTGGCGCCTGCTCCTCCCCCTGCTGCGGTACCTGTATATCCTGGCACTTGCTTCCCCTGCCACCTACTCTCCAGCATGGCTCCAGCCATGGACAAAGGCTCCCAGGGACAAAGCATATGGTCACTGCAGCACAGCCTGGCCACATAGCAGCAGTAAGAGCAGCAACTTCAGCTCCAGCCTCAGCCCTAACCCAGTGTGGCCAGGCTGGAGCTGGAGCAACCCATGTGCTCCATGTTCTGGTCAAGAGCTGAAGCGATGCCAGAGGGTAAGCAAGAGAAGGGGCATAGAGGCAGCAGCAGGAGCAGAGGCAGAGGAGACCCAGTAGAGGGCAAGTGGCACATGAGATGTGGCAGTGATTGTGGCTCTGACTCCAATAAGCCTTCTCCACCCCCAGCACTTTGTACTTGAATGCAAGATGAAGGGCTCCTTGCCCCATGCTGAATAAGAAAAAAAAACTTGTCTTGGATTTGAGTAAATATGGTAACTAGTTAAATAAGCAATGTAATAGTAACTAGTAAACAAGCCATGTATCATTCACCATTGTCTAACATACTAAAACGTGAATTATACAAACGTATACAACTGCTTAAACAGAGTTCTAGTGTAGCATTCCAAGTAGCTAAAAGATGTTCCAAATCTAGTGTAAATGTTCTATTTAATTGTAAAGTAGTTTCATAGGTTATATCAGCCGTTAAGAATGTACCTTTCTTTAAAATCTAAAACAAGTCCAAATGGAAAAAGTTAATTAAAATTGTATGTTCAAATCAAAACTTTCCACTTTGTGATTTAAATCAATCCATCTTAAAGTAAAAAGAACTAAGATGCTGTCTAAGGCTGGGTCTCTACAGAGACTTGTTTAATGACAGGCACAGAGGGGGAAAGCAAGCTCACTGTTTACTACTGAAAAAGAAAAAAATCCCAGGTGAACACAGACAACAGTAAAAATAAAACAAATGCAACCTAAAATGAAAATGCTAAAGAAACAAAACTAGTTTTTAAAACAACCTTTGCTAACTCTAAAGCCAGCTGGAGGAGGGCACCTTCTCCACCCAATGCATTCACAAACATCTTGTCCAATTTACAGCCCCTACACAAATGACACAGGTCATAGCCAAGTGAAACAAAAATGCTTATATGGACAGATGAACATTAATACATACAAGGGAACAGCAATCCAAACCTGATATTAAATGAGGAGAAACATGAAAAGGAGCACTTTGAAAGCAGACCAGCAGGGGTATTACCAGATTGTAAACTAGATAGGAATTTGCTATGTGGTATGACTGCAAAAAGAAAAAAAGCCAATGTCATTTAGGGCTGTCTATGCAAGAGGAATCATAGTTTTCATTCTATGCATATGGCTATCGCAAGAGATAATATTAGAACTGAATCATGTTCAATATCAGAAGATACACAATTGAAACAAGTTTAGAAAACAACAACAAAATGATTAGGGTGCTGAAAAGGTTGATTGGCTGGGAAAAATAAATGAATGGAACATGCATACTTTGACTAGGCAATTATAGGACAGAACATGAGAAATGCCTTCAAACATTAAAAGGTTATAAATACCAAGGAAGGATGAGAAAATATAACCAAGGATAATAGATGAACTTAAGAAAAGATAAAC